GTGCCAGTTTTCAAATGGAATGCTTCTAATTTTTGCCCATTCAGTATGATATTAGCTGTGGGTTTGTCATAAATAGCTTTTATTGTTTTGAGATACGTTCCATGGATACCTAGTTTATTGAGAGTTTTTAGCATAAAGGGCTGTTGAATTTTGTCAAAGGCCTTCTCTGCATCTATTGAGATAATCATGTAGTTTTTGTCTTTTGTTCTGTTTATGTGGTGAATTACGTTTATAGATTGGGGTATATCGAACCTCCCTTGCATCCCTGGTGTGAAGCCTACTTGACTGCAGTGGATAGGCTTTTTGATGTGCTGTTGGATTTGGTTTGCCAGTATTTTATTGAAGATTTTTGCATCTATGTTCATCATGGATATTGGCCTGTAGTTTTCTTTTTTAGTTGTATCTCTTGCAGATTTTGGTATCAGGATGAGTTGGTCTCGTAGAAAGAGTTAGGGAAGATTCCCTCTTTTTGTATTGTTTGGAATAGTTTCAACAGGAATGGTACCACCTCCTCTTTGTATGTCTGGTAGAATTCAGCTGTGAACCCATCTGGACCTGGGCTGCTTTTGGTCAGTAAGCTATTAATTGCTGCCTCAACTTCAGACCTTGTTATTGGTCTGTTCAGGGTTTTAACATCTTCTTGGCTTAGTCTTGGGAGTGTGCAAGTGTCCAGGAATTTATCCATTTCTTCCAGATTTACTGGTTTATGTGCATGGAGTTTTTTGTAGTAATCTCTGATGGTAGTTTGTGTTTCTGTGGAATCAGTGGTGATCTCCCCTTTGTTGTTTTTTATTGCAACTATTCAATTCTTCTCTCTTTATTAGTCTAGCTAGTGGTCTATTTTGTTGATCTTTTCAAAAAACCAGCTCTTGGATTTATTGATTTTTTGAAGGGTTTTTTTGTGTCTCTATCTCCTTGAGTTCTACTCTGATCTTAGTTATTTCTTGTCTTCTGCTTGCTTTTGAGTTTTTTTGATCTTGCTCCTCAGCTGTTTCAATTTTGACAATAGCATGTCCGTTTTCAGTCTTTCCTTGTTTCTCACATGGGCATTTATTGCTATAAATTTCCCTCTAGACGCTGCTTTAAATGTGTCCCATAGGATCTGGTATGTTGTGTCTTCATTCTCATTGTTTTCAAAGAACATTTTTATTTCGGCCCTCATTTGATTGTTTATCCATTGGTCATTCAGAAGCAAGTTGTCCAGTTTCCATGTGATTGTGCAGTTTTGAGTGCTTTTCTTAATCCTGAGTTGTAATTTGAATGCGCTGTGTTCTGAGAGAGTGTTTGTTATGATTTCCATTCTTTTGCATTTGCTGAGGAGTGATTTACTTCCAATTATGTGGTCAGTTTTGGAGTAAGTGCAATGTGGTGCTAAGAAGAATGTGTATTCTGTGGATTTGGGGTTGAGAGTTCTGTAAATGTCTATTAGGTTTACTTGGTCCAGATCTGTGTTCAAGTCCTGGATATCCTTGTTGACTTTCTGTCTCATTGATCTGTCCAATATTGTCAATGGAGTGTTAAAGTCTCCCACTATTATTGTGCGGGAGTCTAAGTCTCTTTGTAGGTCTTTAAGAACTTGCTTTATGTATCTGGGTGCTCCTGCATTGGGTGCATAAATAGGATAGTTAGCTCTTCATGTTGCATTGATCCTTTTAACATTATATAATGCCCTTCTTTGTCTCTTATGATCTTTGTTGGTTTAAAGTCCATTTTTATCAGAGACTAGGATTGCTACCCCTGCTTTTTTTTGCTCTCCATTTGCTTGGTAAATCTTCTTCCATCTCTTTATTTTTAGTCTTTATGAGTCTTTGCATGTGAGATGGGTCTCCTGAATACAGCCCACTTATGGGTCTTGACTTTTTATCCAGTTTTCCAGTCTTGGCTTTTGATTGGGGGTATTTAGGCCATTTACATTCAACATTAATATTGTTATGTTTGAATTTGATCCTGCCATTTTGTTACTGGCTGGTTGTTTTGTCTGTTAATTGACATGGCTCCTTCATTGCGTCGTTATTCTTTACCATTTGGTACATTTTTGCAGTGGCTGGTACTGGTTGTTCCTTTCTCTGTTCAGTACTTCCTTCAGTATCTCCTGTAAGGCAGGTCTTGTAGCGATGTAATCTCTCAGCAATTGCTTGTCTGTAAAAGATTTTATTTCTTCTTCACTTATGAAGCTTAGTTTGGCCGGATTTGAAATTCTGGGTTGAAAGTCGTTTTTTTTAAGGATATTGAATATTGGCCCCCACTCCCTTCTAGCTTGCAGGGTTTCTGCCGAGAGATCCGCTATGAGTCTGATGGTGTTTCCTTTGTGGGTGACTCGACCTTTCTCTCTGGCTGCCCTTAGGATTTTTTCCTTCATTTCAACCCTAGTGAATCTGACAACTATGTGCCTTGTGGTTGCTCTTCTTGAGGAATATCTTTGTGGTGTTCTCTGTATTTCCTGGATTTGAATGTGGCCTGCCTTACTAGGTTGGGAAAGTTCTCTTGGATAATGTCTTGAAGAGTGTTTTTCAACTTGGATTCATTCTCCCCGTCACATTCACGTACACTGATCAAGCGTAGATAAGGTCTTTTTTTTTTTTTTTTTTTTCACATAATCCCATAGTTCTTGGAGGCTTTGTTCATTTCTTTTCACTCTTTTTCCCCTAATCTTGGCTTTTCATTTTATTACATTGATTTGCTCTTCTATCTCTGATATCCTTTCTTCTGCTTGATCGATTTGGTTGTTGAAACTTGTGTATGCCTCGTGAAGTTCTCTTGCTGTGTTTTTTAGCTCCATCAAGTTGTTTATGTTCTTCTCTAAGCTGGTTATTCCAGTTAGCATTTCGTCTAACCTTTTTTCAAGGTTCTTAGTTTCTTTGCATTGGGTTAGAACATGGTCTTTTAACTGAGAGGAGTTTGGTATTACCCACCTCCTGAAGCCTGCTTCTGTCAATTTGTCAGATGTATTCTCTTTTTTTAATTCCCTTGATGGTGAGGAGTTGTGATCCTTGGGAGGAGAAGAGGTGTTTTGTTCTTTGATGGTTTCATCCTTTTCGAGCTGTTTTTTTCCCCCATCTTGGTGGATTTGTGTCCCTTTGATCTGGTTTCAGGAGGAGTCTCTGAGTTGACTTTCTTCTATTGAGATTGGAGCTGTATCTTTTTTGGCCTGTAGAGGGCGTTGCTGGGCTCTCTCCGGTTCAGTCCAGGTGGTCCTTCCCTGGAGTTTGTTTGCAGGTGGGATTGGCCCCGCCTTCCCAATGGTGTCTCTCCCAGAGCTGGATCTTCCTGGTTGGGTTCAAAGTGGCGTATTTGCTGCCAAGCTCTCTAGCAAGGGCTTCAGTTTGAGTTCTGTGGAGGTGGGGCCTGCCGGGCCTTATGGTCTATTTCCCTGCTTTCAACTCTGCCTACCTCTGCGGGATGGTCTGTCCTGCTGGCATTAGTCCAAACTCCCACCCAGCTCCCTGCGACAACTTGCAGAGCCTGGCAGTAGCTGCTGCTCAGATTTGCATCCACTGCCCATGGCACCCCACCGTCTGGCAGGGCTCTCGTGGACCGTGGGTTGCAGGAGGGATGAGGTAAGCACAGGGTCCGAAACGCAGGATGGAGGGGGTTAAGTCCCCTGACTCTCCGAGCTGGCTGCACGTTTCAGGTGGGGATGTGCCGCACCCCCCTGCCCCCTCAGTCTTGATTTGCTCCCCTGAGTGGCCTTCGCCCTGTGGCTACTTCCCTGGGCCTATTTTCAGAGCCCTATCAGTCCCACAGAAAAGAACCGGTCGCCTCGTTTGGAATAGTGAAGTCCTCTAGCCTTCTGAGTCTGGTTTGCTGGGAGCTGCATTCTGGTGCTGGCTTCTCTCAGCTATCTTGGCCTCCCCTCTCCTCCCCAGCCAAAGTTTTTTTTTTTTTAGTTGTGAGTCACGCTTATACATAGCCCTGAACTTTGGACAACATCCCTGATGTGACAGATGGTCCTCCTGTCTTGGGCATCCAGTCTAGAGATGTGAATGTCTCTAAGGAAAGGGTACTCAGTATCTTATTAGACAGCCTGTTCAATTGCTGATTAGCTTTAGGAGTTTGAAATTTCTCTAAGGGTTAAAAAAAAAATGAAACCAATTGGTTGGTCATTCTTACCCATTGATTGTTACCCTGGCTTCTGGTGAAATACGGAATAAATTTTCTTTCTTTTCAAATATTTGAGAACAGTTGCCTTATCTTTGTAATAATTTATTTTGCAGGAGAAAAGTTTGTCAGTGGCTACTTCTCAGTCTATAAACGTCCTCATCAGGATGCACTTTCATCTGGCAGTGTTGCTCTTAGAACACAGTATCTGTGAGACACAACACTCCAGCTGTGTCCACTCCAGTGAAAACAGCAGTAGGCCCATCCATTTAGTTTGATTTTTTCCTTCCTCCTCTTCCAACCACACTCTTCCTAGGTAACCACAACGGCTTCTACAGGGTAAAGCCATGTTAATGTTATACATTGATTTTATGACAAAATCAATGCAGGTGGTTTTGGTGCAATCCAGATGAGTCTCCAAGGATCAGTGTTACCGCAGCTACCTAATAAAAGGAAACCCAGGAATGAGCCTCATTACTGCTGTAGCATAATGTGCTCTAAGCAATTGCCCTTCCACCTTTCCCCTTCTCAAACAGCCAGGGCAAGAAGCTCAAGTTCTTGGCTGTAGCTGATAAACAGTGTGATGAGAACAGTTTGTTTAATTCTAGTTAATGAGTTGGCTGCAGTAAATTCCCAGCAACCAGGAACTGGGAACCTTAGAGGCAGGGCTACAGCATCCTGCAATGGGAGGTTTTAGGGCTGCTCTGTCCAGCTTGTAAAGTGTGAAGCAAAGGTGTGTGGGAGACTGACCTAAGGTCACAGCTCATGTCTGATAGCAATAGAGACAACTCTGGAACTTGGGCCATAGTGTGTTGCTTGGCTGCTGGTGCAAGGCAACAGAATAGGCAGATGGAAATTTAGGATCCAGCTTCTGTGGTGTGTACTTTAATAGCTATAGATACTTTCCGGATTGGTCAGGGTCTCTTTTGCACAGTCCAGCAGGGGAGAAGTCAGTGCCAATTGTCCTACAAGCATTACGTGATAGAGGATTCTTTCCCCAGCGCATTAATTCTTTAGCAGTGAGCCGGATAGGATAGTAGGGCCTGCATGACCCGCTCCTAGCAGTGCCTTTAGCAGACATTGGAAGCCAGCTTTTAGTGTGAACTCACAGGCCATAAAAATGTCAGGTCACTGAACAGCTGCTGCTCTTCAGGGTCAAATAGCTCACATTCAAGGCAGAAAGAGAGGGCTGTTCTCTGTAAAAGGCATTTTAAGAGAATTCCTAATAATGAAGTCTTCTGATGGGGTAGTTTAAAGGAAGGAAGAAAGAGAGGGAAGGAAGGAGGTCGGGAAGGAGCGAGCAAAGTCTTTTCTTGTGAACCTTGTAAAGACAGTCAACTTGCAAAAATTATCTTAAACTGGAAATCCAAAAGGCTTATCATCTGAACTGCCTGAGAGTGACCAGCTCACTAGTGACAAGCCCTCCTTATTATTTATGCCCTCTGACTTCTCAAGAGTTAAGATATGAATATTAAGGTCGTATTAGTCTAACAGTTAATCAGGACGTTTTAGGGATGGGGCTGAAGTCTTGAATGGTGGCAGTCTGCATGGAAGTCCAAGGAAGTATTATGAAGAGCCACCCCACTGAGCTGTTTAATTGAGATATATCCAGATGTGAATAAACTGGAAAAGTCAAAAGAGCATGAAAAGTTGCCAGAGGGAGTTTACCTGAAGCAGCCAGTGTGTTCAGAGGAGTAGGATGATGTGGCCTGACTGGTTGGAAAAGTTTCTTGGCTGTGTATACAGGGACTTTTCTTTCTTAAGTATACTTTATGTTTTGGAGTAGTTTTAGGGTCACAGCAAAACTAAACAGACGGTACAGAGATTTCGCACATACCTCCTGCCCCACACGTGTAGCCTCCCCTATCATCAACATCCCCGACCACAGTGGTCCCTTTGTTACGATTGATGGACCTACCCCAACACCTAATTATCACCCAGCGTTCATCATTTGCATCAGGGTTCACTCTTGGTGTTATATATTTTATGGATTTGGGCAAATATAAGATAACATGTAGAAAGTATTTTCACTGCCCTAAAAGTCCTCTGCTCTTCCTATTCATCCCTTCCTCCTCCTGACCCTTGGTAACCGCTCATCTTTTCCCTGCTTCCCTAGTTTTACCTTTTCCAGGGTGGCATGTGAGCGGAATCATACACTAGGCAGCCTTTGCATACTGGCTTCTTTCGCTTAGTAATATGCATTTAGGACTCCTTCATGTCTTTTCACAGCTTGATAGGTCATTTCTTTTCAGCACTGAATAATATTTCATTGTCTGAAGGTACAACAATTTATCAGTTCACCTACTGAAAGACATTTTGGTTGCTTCAAAGTTTTGGCAATTATTTAAAAAGCTGCTATAAACATCTATGTTTATGTTGTGTTGACATGAACTTCCAACCCGTTTGAATAAATTGCTGGATTGTATAGTAAGAGGACATTAAGGCTGAAATGTCCAGACTGTCTTTTAAAGCACCTGTAACATTTTGCATTCTTACTGGTAATGAATGAGAGTTCCTGTTGCTCCACATCCTCGCTGGTGTTTAGTGTCGTTGGTGTACTGGGTTTTGGCTACTCTAGTGAACATGTAGCAATATATTGTTGTTTTAATTTGCCTTTCCTTGATGACATATAATGTGGCGCATTTTTTCATATGCTTATTTGCCATCTGTATATCTTCTTTGGTGAGGAGGCTGTTCAGATCTTGGGCCCATTTTTAAAAATTGAGTTGTGTTCTTATTGTTGAGTTTTAAGAGTTTTTTGCATATTTTGGATGACAGTCCTTTACCTGGTATGTCTTTAGCAAATATTTTTCCGCAGTCTGTGGCTTGTCTTATCATTTTCTTGACTGTGTCTTTTGCAGACCGTTTAAGTTTAATTTTAATGAAGTCCAGCTTATCAATTCTTTCTTTCATGGATTGCGCATTTGGTGTTGCATCTAAAAAGTCATCACCAAACTCAATGTCATCTAAATTTTCAATTTTCTCCTATCTCCAGGAGTTTTATCATTTTGTTTTACATTTGAGTCTGTGATCCATTTTGAGTTAATTTTTTTGCAACAAAATGTGAGGTCTTTGCCTAGCTTTATTGTTTTTGCATATAGATGTTCAATTGTTCCAGCATTAACTTTTGAAAAGACTATATTTGCTCCATTGTCTTGCTGCAGAATTTCAGAGACTGGAGAGACTGTTGAGGTTGCAGAAAGAGTTTATTTTACCAGCCCATCTCAAAAACAAAATGGCTAAGCCCCTAACAAAGGCAGGGCTTGACTTTTTATATGTGAAGTACACAGTGGTGCTAAAACAAGTTTGCAGCTGTAGAACAAAGGCAATTTATAAGCAATGATTGGCACCTAACTTAGGCTTACATATGACATTGCTATGCAACCCAAATGTTTGCTATCTGTAGAGTCTAAGGATTCTAGCACAGGCCTTATCTATTGCCTTCTGCTACAGAGCCCCAGAAGGATAGAGTCCTGCCTGGTTGGGCATTTCTTCTGACCTTTGCTGTGTGACAGAAACTTAGTTATCAGCTATAGAAAACAAGAATATAGGAATTTATAACCTTATAAAACTTGCGAAGCAGGATGCAATTCCATGGGAGGGGTAAGGACTCAAGGAAGTTTGCTTGTGAAATAAAAGTTTAATTTCTGCTTCTCTTTGGTGCATTAATTTTATTTTTGTTAATGTTTCCTCTTCAGTCTTACTGTTGCTCCTTTGGCAAAAATCAATTAACTATCTTCATGTGGTTCTATTTGTAAGTTATTTTATTAGTCTATTTTTTTTCATCATTACCACACTGACTTGAGTACTATAGCTTTATAGTATGTCTTGAAGTAGGGTAGAATAAGTTCTCCAACTTGTTCTTTTCCTTTGATATTGTGTTGGCTATTCCGTATCTTTTGCCTATTTATATAAACAATAGAATCAGTTTATCAATAAAAACAAAGTAATGCTGGGGTTTTATTGGAATTGCATTGAATCTATAGATTAAGTTGAAAAGATCTTGACAATATTGAATCTTCCTATCCATGAATATGAACTATCTCACCATATATTTGGCCATTCCTCAGTTTCTTCTATCAGAGGTTTGTTGTTTTCCTCATCTAGATCTTGTATATATTCTGTTAGATTTATACCTAGGTATTTCATTTTTGGGGTGTGCTCATATGAATGGTATTCTGTTTAATTTTAAATTCTACTTTTTCTTTGCTGGTAGATAGGAAAACAATAGACTTTTACATATTAACCTTGTATCCTGCAAACTGATTTTCCTAAGCTGTTGGTAGTCACTCTTTTCCTCCCCTGTGTGTGTCTTCCGGAGTCATTGCTCAGCATCACAATCATCTCCTCTTCAGGCACCTCCTCCCATCCTAGAAGAGTCAGCATAGGCCCCAACCTGATTAGACTTAGGTAAGGTTCTCTATACTGGAAGTGAGAGTGAGGATATTAACAATAAATGCTCATGATTACATAAGAGATTGCAGATTCCTTTACCACAGAAACGTCCTCATATGACCATAATGGGTGCAAATGAAATGGTACTAAAATCAGTACCATGAAACCATTTCCTTTCTTTCTTCTCCCAGCAAAAGAAGCAAGAGAATCAGAGAAAACAAACACTTTATTCAAACGAAATGAAAAAAAAAAATCATACTTAGGAACCTCTTTTTCCACACGTTAAGGTTTGATACAAATAAGGATCTTCTTTGTCTGAAAACTCTGGGGCGCAGTCCTGTGCTTATTCATTTGATACCAGGGAAACATGTAGTTGATTGCAATAGATAAAAGCATGTTAGGGAATAGACCAAAGGGCAGGTCTGACATTTTCCACAGGAGTCAAATAATTCTGGTTGGTATTTGCTATGGAAAACACAAAATCCTTATAAACAAGAAACTTGTTCCTCCATGGACCCCAAACTTTTTCAAACATAAAGCATTCATAGGCTGGACATGATGGCTCACGCCTGTAATTCCAGCACTTTGGGAGGCCAAGGTAGGAGGATTGCTTGAAGCCAGGAATCTGAGAACAGCCTGGGGAATATAGTGAGGCACTATCTCTAAAAACATGTTATTAGAAGAATTCACAGATTTTAAGTCATCTCTTAATTATGGACTCAACAGGTTTTTAGACTTGAGTTATTATCAATAGGGGTAACAGGGATATAGACTTAAAACAGTATCTAGACCATGCAGAAAATAAGCACATAACTCAACATAGTGATTGTTATAAACACCCCATGTGAGAAGCTCTAGACCCCTGACTTTAATTCTCTCCACACAGTCCAGTGATTCTCAGATACTGTCTATGGAACTAAATAGTATCAAGTAGCTGTTAAGCCTTGGAAGTTGCCAATTAGGTTTTCCACTTGATAGGAAACAGCTGATGGTGTTAAAAAAAAAAAAAAGTTTTCCCTCCCAGAACTCAGCCTTTTGAACACAGTAATGCATCACATAGCAACATTTTAATCAACCATGAACCACATATATGGCAGTGAGCCCATAAAATTATTATGGAGCTGAAAAATTCCCTATCACCTAGTAGCATTGTAGGGCAATGCATCAATCAAGTATTTGAGGTGATGCTGGTATGAAGCAGGCTACTGAGCTACCCATTGTATAAAACTATAGCACATCCACATGAACAGTACATAATACTTGATCAGTGAATATTACTAGTTTATTACACATTTGTTATTTTGAAGTACACTCCTTCTTATTAAAAACAAAAGTTAACTGTGAAACAACCTCAGGCAGGCCCTTCAGGAGGTACTCCAGAAGGCATTGCTATCATGAATGACAGCTCCATGTGGGTTATTGCTCCTGAAGTCTTCCAGTGGGACAAGAAACGTAGGTGAAGACAGTCATATTGATGATCCTGACCCCATGTAGGCATAGGCTAATGTGTCCTCATTAACAAAAAACAGTTTAAAAAGTTAAAAAAATTAAAAACTGAAAAAAGCTGAGAATGTGAAGAAAATATTAATACTTTATGCATTTAAAGTTATTACAAATCAAAACACTAGGTTAATAAAAGTTATAGTAAGCTAGGCTTTATTAAAGAATTTAAAAAATAGTGTAGCCTAGAATGTACAATGTTGATAAACCCTATAATAGTGTAATGTCCTAGGACTTCACTCACAAACCTGGAGCAACTTCCAGTTCTGCAACGTGCACCATCTTAAAAGGTTTTCTATGGTATTTTTACTGTATCTTTTCTATATTTAGATATGTTTAGATACACAAATACCATTGTTACAATTACCTACACTATTCAGTGCAGTAACATGCTGTGCAGGTTTGTAGCCTAGGAGTAATAGGCTATACCACGTAGCCTAGGTGTGTAGTAGGCTATGCTATCTAGATTTGTGCAAGTATACTCTTTGATGTATGTACAACAATGAAATCACCTATTGGCAAAATTTCTCAGAATGTGTCCTTGTTAAAAGACACATGACTCTAATTGTGTCTAAACTACAGTATTTTAATAAAGATTATCCCCTTGCCTAACAAAAAAACCCACATTAGGCTATAGAAAAGGGGCAATATTCTGGATGGATCTCAGAACTTCACCCCTCTGTCAGAAGCACATTTCCTTCAATGATAGTTTTTTTGGGGAAACTGAAGACATTGAAGCATATGATGTGAAAATTTCACATTTCCCTTCTTTTCTATTAATACACCAAAGTCAACTGAGGATCTAGGTTCTGTATATAATTCTATATCTGAATATACAAATAGGCGGTGGCTCGGCTTGTGGGTTAGGATATAACATTTGCCTAACGTGCAGAAAAGTCTCTCTTATCTGAATGTCAGCTCCACAGAATGTTGTTACTATGGAGTTATACAGTGAGTTGATAAAAAAAAAAAAAAAAAAAAAAAAAGATGGTCAGCTATTACAAGAACATCATGAGGAGTTCATTCCAAAGATAAGAATTATCTTAAAATACCAAGCAGTGTGTGCACTGCTTGGGTATTCGATCAATGACTGGAGCAGTTTGTTTCCAGCTTGACCTTAAATTGAGCTAAGGGTGGCTAGGCAGCAAAAGTGATGCAGGACAAAGGAAAAGCTTCAACTTTCAGAGGATACTGATAAAACAAATTTCTTGATCTGTACAGGTGCCATTTCCCACACTGACCTATATCAAATTAATTTTTAATAAGAAAAAATGCCTCAAACCAAAATAGGTTTTGATTCTAGAGACCAGAGATTGTTTTCTCCACTCTAGTTAAATAATTTCACCTGTAGCCCTAATACACATGAGTTATAACATGAAATTGTATAACTCATACATAAACCAAGTACAGAAAGAGGTGCCATATGATAACCTGAGCATGTTGAATGCTGCCATAATAGAAAACTGTATTCTTCTAGGTCTAGTAAGTACAGGCTTAAAAACACATATATATTTCTGATTCAGTGAACAATTGGCAAAACTGAAATTCAGTGGTGGAAACTGCAAAGAAGTTTGATGACGCTGTTTTAATAATTCATAGAAAGCATATATGTACACCCAATGAATTCATCTCTTTATTGCATATTGCTTTTTAAAAAAAATGTACAGTCTCATAACACATACATTTTTTTTCTCAGTACTACCTAACAACAGTCTTGCACCTAAAGAGGAAGTGGTTCCAACTACTAAGCTAACAAGATACAAGACATATAATTAAGTTTACAAATTATGCATTTTCTTTTTGGCATTAAAAAAAAAAAGAACTTTAAAATACACACCCAAGAGAGAAAAGTGGCTACTTACACCAGCACCAATCTAAAAAGTT